CGCCCGTCAAAGGCGCGGCGGTGTGCCCCCCCCAAAGACGGTGGGGGGCTGCGGCGCCCTGCCCCATGGGGCCTCCTGCCCCTACAACCAGGAGCGGCACGGCGCCATCGGGTTAGATGGCTGCTACTCGGAGTAGCCCCTCCAGTGTCCCTCTCCCTGCCGGTGGCTTGATATCTTATTCTATTTATTTAGAAAAAGTCTAAACATTTAGGGCACTTTAAAGGAGAACATGACTGGGTGGAGGGGCAGAGGGGGACAAAGAAGCACTGGGGAGCAGCTGCTCATCCCTTTGCCACACCATCCTGGCCTGGCAGGGGTCTGGGACTGACAGGGAGCACCCCAGGCCCTTGGTCCCCCCAAGGGCACCCCCTTCTGCCAAGTGTCCCAGAATGATTGCTAAATGCCTGGCTCCCCCTCCCTTTGCCTCCATCTCTCAGTTCCCCCTTTCTGCTGCCAGCTCCCCCAACTCTTCCTTCTGACTCTCCTTGCTGTATCCTTCTCCCGCCCCTACTGCCAGGCAGATCCCGTTTTTCTTCCATACCCATCACTGCCTCCCTGCTCGGCTGGCCCCTCCATCCCCGCAGCAGTGAGAAGCCTTAATTTCTGGTACTGTGTGAGCACTCTGGGGGTGTCCCCCTCCCCCTTCAGGGGCAGCTAGAGGATGAGGGGGGAGGGTATTTAGCACTGGGGCCTGGAGCTTTTCCCCCACCTCTATACCCTATCACCCCTAAAATTCAAATGCAAAACACTTGAAGCAGCAACTACTGTACCTGGGCCCCAATCCTGCACTCTCCCCTGGCTCCTCATATGCAAATCAAGGGCTGGTTCTGCCCCCACAGCCTGCCCCCCCTGGCCTGGCCCCTAACCACGCACTTTAACCTTGCTTCTTTCTTTTAACTTCTTTTGGAGGGCAGAGCCTGCGGCCGTTCCCTCCCTGGCTCTCCTCTCCCTGAACTTTGAGGCTTGTCATGAATTTTTAAGTAAGCATTTTATGAAAGAAACAATTTAATTTCCTGCCCATTTCAAAACCACAGCCCTAGTATGTCCTATGTGTTTCAGGCATGTGTTTGCATGCATGTGGAGGAAAGGACCGTGTTCTTCCTCCTGCGCCCACCCATCCCATAGTTCTTCCCATAGTGCCCCCCTTCTGCCTCCACTGTCCATTCTGTCCACAAGTACCCACTGCCCCCACTGCTCCTGAACTGAAGCCAAAGATGGTGGGAGGGGCAGGGCAGACTAGGGACCGTGGCTACTCTGGCCCAGACTTCCCCTCCATCCTGAGGATGAAGCTCTGGTTTAGGGAGCGATGAATAGACACCAAGCTTGGTTCCTGCCTTCCCAGCAAGGGGAGAGATGGGGTTGAGCTAGGGGCCGTACTGATAAGATTCCTAAATTGCACCCCCAAAGCCAAACTGGGCTGGTGTGAGGAGGGGGCAGTTTCTCTCTAAATGTAGCATTGAATTTGGCCCTGGTCCCTTCAGACGCCCTGTCCATCCATCTCTAGTTACGCCTCCTGGACAGTTGGACCCACTCCTGTAGCCCAGTGTTCCCTTCCTCACACTCAATACCTCAGCCAGGGGCCAAGACACAGAACTTGAATAGAGGTCATGCCCCCTCCACCCCACAGAGCATCCTTGCCCAGTGTGGCTGCCATCAGTATTGTCCCTGAGAACTGGACAGGCTTCGTTTACACAGTACAGGGTCTCCCCCCGGGGACCCCTCAGCCTCCTTGCCCCACCCGAGTTTGCTTTGTCCATAGTCTTACGCCCTTTTTAGTTGTGTCCCCTGAGTGTCTTGCCACCCTTGCCAAGGGTGGGCTGAGGGGGAGGGCATCCCAGGGAGCCCTCCCTCCCCACCAGATGCCCTTAACCGTACCTCCTGCTGGTTCCTCTAAGCCTGGGGAGTTTGCCCAAGTCCTTATTCTTTTCATGGTCCCTTTTTATCCCCTAGCCCCTGTGTCTTGCTTCCCTGACCCTCAGTTCCTGAACCATTTCAAGGCTTCCAAATGACCATTGTTGGTGAGAAGGATTGTGCAGCTTTTAGTTTTTATTTTTGTTTTTAAAGCCAAAGGGCCTTGCGACGCCCCTCTTGCCCACCTCCCTTCATACCCTGCCCTCCCCTATACGACAATCAACGTGACCTCTCTTAAGGGCTGCAGCCCCCCACCCTGTCCTATCCCTGCTGGTTCTGCGAAGCTTGCCCCCCCCAAACTTCAATTCTCTCTCCTAAAATCTCCCCATTCCACTCCCTCCCTCTCATTTTGGTGCTGGGAATTAGGTGGTGGGGGCAAGGGGGGAGCAGGGAGAAGGGTCCTCCAGAGGACTCTGGGGTATCAGTCGTGTTCTCCTTTATCACTGTTTGGCGATGACAGGAAAACTGAATATTTGTCAGGAGCCCCGTTGTGTTGCTGGATGAGATTTCTGGTGGCTGTGTTCCCTGCTGCCCCTTCAGCACACTGTCAGCAGTGCTGGGGACGGCTGTGGGGGTCCTTCGTCCTTCCTCATGTGGCTGTGAGGGGGCTAGGACAAGCAGCCTCCTCTCCTTATGCCAAAGGAAATCCCATACCCTACCCTGGGCTCCCCAGCCCCTAGTGTTTTTTGAAGCGTTTTGACCATTCACATGGCCACTGCATATTTATTTTAATGTAAGATTTTTTTGTTTAACCTCTTCGACTTAAACGGGTGTGGAGAAGTAAAACAGGCAGAATGCCCCCCAGTCTTCAAGGGGTGGGGGGAGGAAACATCTCCTTCCCTTTGCCCGCCCTCTTCCCCTCCCCCTCTCCCTCTCCCCACCACAGCTCTAAAGCACTTGCTTCAAGTAATAAGCACTTTTGTGAAAAGGCCTATTTTAAGTGAGGACCCTGGGAGCAGCCCCAGGTCCCAGCAAAGGAGACAGAGCGAGGGCTACATAGGAGACAGGGAGACAGACTTGCGAATTGGAGGGCAAGATGAAAAGAGCCAGTTTTTAGTTTCTGATTTTTAGGGGGTTGTTTCTGATTGGGCGGTGGCTTTGGTAGGGTTGTGTACTATCCTTCAGAAAAACAAATGGCACAAACTGTGGGTCCCAGTATGGACCAACAGACCCGGGTCACTGCCACTGTCCAACTGAGACTGATGGGCCACCTCCCCCACCCGTGGCCCCCTGAGCCATAGGACTGCTGAAAACCACTGAATGTACAGCCCAGGTTGGGGTGGGGAGCAGCCCCTGGGGGAGGGGGCTTCTCCTTTTGTTTGGTGCTGTGGGGGGTGGGAGAGATGAGACTGAGGGACTGCCACCCCACTTAGACATGTGTTTCTTGGGGTGGAGGGGCTGAGGAGGGCCTCCCTCCTCTCCAACCCCAGCCACGGCCCTCTTCCCTCCTGACCCCTATCCGTTTTGACTGTAAGTCCAGCTCACCTTTGCCTTCAATATGTAACCAAAGGAAAACTCAATACTGTTTCCACCGCTGTCTGCCCACCCGAGCACCTTCCCACTCCCTGGACCTAGACGGGGAGGAGGAGAAGCTGGGGGTGGGCTGGGTGGGGCCAGAGTGAACGGTTCTCCAGCCGTACCCCCAAACCTTCTTTGGGTCTTAGAGGGGTCCTGAGAGGTGGCACTGGGGCCAGGCTGGTGGCACTGGGAGTGGGCGCACTCTGTATCTTACGCACACGAGTGTTTCTTTGTCTCAGTGACTCCAGTTACTGTGCTCCAGCGGGGAGGCCCCTTCCTCCTTCCCCCTCAGCCATTTCTCAGCCTCTCCCTACACCCAGTGTTCATCCCCCGCCTCCCCTTCCCACTGCAAAGGAAAATAGCCTTACAGACCCTAACCCAGAAACCCTGCTCCGGGGCAAACCAGTATGGGCCCCCATCCCACCTAGCTCGAACCCTACCTTTTCAGAAGGAGGGATAAAGGAGCTAAGCAGCCCCTTCCCCTCTAATTGTGGTGGCTCCAGCCCTCCGCAGCCTTGACCCAGGTTGGGCAAGGGCAGAGGTAAGGAATCCTTGAGGACCAAGCCCAGTGGTCTGGGAAGAGGGAGGTAGAGAGGGAAGGGTCTGACTTGAGAACTCCCTCCTCCCAACCCAACCCCTAGAGAAGCGACCAAATCCCAGAGATGGGAGGAAGCTGGGGTGGGGAGGGTCTACTCTTTGAATTACTTGAAGGTACTGACTCCGAGGCTGCTGTTGCCCACATCGGTGTGAGGGGGACACTGTCACTGCATTGGGGCAGGCAGAGGGTGGCGAGGGACAAGAGTGACAAGAGGTTCCGCTCCTGGCCCTAGCTCACTCCTGCTAGGCCCTTTCCCTGGGCAATTCCAGAGCCTGGCTTTGCTCCCAGGGAAGTTGGGGAGAGCTTTCCCCTCCCATCTCCATCCCTCACTCTGGGCACTCTCTCCAATTGCACTAAAGTAGCTGTTGTGCCAGTCTTATCCCCACACCAGGGTGGGGTCTCTGCTTCCAGTCTCTCCCCTCCCCCCAACTGCCTCTGCTCCCATCCCGGACAATCTCCTTGTTCCCCTTGTGTTCCTGGATAGCTCAGCTTTGTATGTGTGTGTTTGGGGGGTGGGGGTGGGTCCTGGCTGGAGTGGGTTTGGCAGGGGTTTGGGAAGGGCTTGGGGGAAAGATGGGAGGATGAAGTCTCCTGCCCTCTTCCCCAACTCCAAGCCGCAGAAGCCTGGGAGAGAGGGTGCCTACTCTCACTGCCGTGTGTCTTGCAGATGTGCCAAAATGGGGGTGGGCGGGATGGTAGGGTGCCTGGCAGAGCAGCCCCTGGGGTGGCTCTCTCAAAGCAATACAGTTCCCCTGCCAGGGGAATGGCAAGACAGGGGAGAGGGTTGGGGTGGGGACCTGGGGGTTCCCCTTGTACAGCTGTGTATATTCAGGGGTGTTCTCTGTCTGGTACCCACTGTGGGCATCTATGTGTGTGTGAACCTCCCCTTCCCCATGCCCTGCATGACCTGTGATGCTGCAGACACCACCACCCTGTGTGCAGGTGTGTGTTGGGGGGCACGGAGGGGCGTGTTCATGTCCTGTTGCACCCTCCACCCTGTGACCCATGTACTCGGTTGTAGGAAGTAAAGAGAACTGAGCACAATTCACTGGATTCTAGTTGAATCTTTCTCTAAGCAATTTGCCCATTCCTGCCCTTCTCCCTGCCCTGGATCCACCTGTGGTGCTAGTGTTGGGGTCGGAGGGGTTTAATGCTGGTGGGCTGCAATAAAGGGCGGTTCTGCCCAGATGCCTGCATCCCCAGGGTGCTGAGGGCAGCAGGAAAACGTGGGGACCTCGGTGCATTTGCCCCCCTCCCCCTCCCCCTCGGGCTAAAGCACAATGCTCTCCCTGCAGACTGATGCACCCCACCCCTCCAGGCCCCTGCTCATCTCCTGCCCCACCTGCTTTGAGCCTTCCCACCACACCCTGGTTTTCTATGCTGTTTTGGTGCAAGTACAACTGTCGTAGTCATGGCTTTGGGATGGGTTCTGTTTATTAAAATCCTGTTGCTCCTACTGGCCCTGTGTCCCGCCTCCATTCCTGTGGTTGGGGGGGAGGAAGGGGAACCTGGACCCCTCTCCACCAGTCCCCTTCAGCCGTCAGAGACCAGGGGCAGCAGCTGGTCCTCCAGCAGGGCTCTGGTGAGCATGAGGCTGCCCCCCAGCAGCAACCCCAGCCCCTGCAGCAGCCTGTCCAGCCGAGGTAGGGGCTCAGGAGGACGAAGCAGGGCTGGTAGCTGGAAGGAAAGGAGACTGTTAGGATTTCTCTGAACAAGAGGGAGGGTGGCAGAAAGTAGCAGCAGCCCTTGCACCCTGATCCCACCCCTTCACCCCTGCACTTTTAGTTCCTGGTTTCTGAGAGTCTTGCAGGCGGGCCTGTGGTCCAGCACCCTTCCCGGAGCTGGTGGTGTGGAGGTGGAGGGACGGTTAATCCCTTTCTCCACATCCACCTCCCCACTTGGTCTCTGCTCGACCCCCACACTTCTCACCATGTCCACGAGGGCCACGTAGAGGAAGACCCCGGCAGTGAGCCCAAACACCCAGGGAGTCAGGGGGACAGGGCCCAAGCTGAGCCCCACCCCCAGGGCTGCACCCCCCAGTCCCAGGGCTCCAGACACCAGGCTCAGCAATAGCAGCCTCCGAAAGGGCAGCCCTGCCTGGAGCAGCACTGCGAAGTCCCCTGGGGAGAGAGGACAGGGAAGGAGAGTAAGCAGGGCTGCCCCTCCCCCGCATCACCAGCCAGCCTCCCTGTTCTACCTTGTGGAGATCTCCTTTCCAGAGTCCACCCCACCCCGCTTCTGCCATCCCTACCCAGTTCGTGGGGCAGCTCGTGACAGAAGACTGCTAAGGTGGTGCTGAGGCCACTGGAGAAGCCATCAGAGAAGGCAGCACCTGGGATCAGCAGAATTGGAGGTCATCAGTCCAGAGGACAGTCTCCTCAGGAGCAGGGCCCGTATTCCTGCTATAGTGCCCTCGTCCCCTCCCCTGCTTCCTGCCTGCCCTCTCCTCGCCCCACCAATAACCAGGAGCCCTGGCCTTCCCTCGGGCCTGCCACCCTCCACACGCCCTCCCCTCACACCTATGGCCAGCCCATCCGTGAGGTTATGCAGACCATCTCCCAGGAGGACCATCCATGTGATACTAGTGTCGCCCTGGTGCCCATGGCTGTGGCCATGGTGCCCAGGAAGGGCCGGGGCTGGTGGGGGTTGGCTGTCCTGCTCCCGCTGGCCCTGAGCTCCTGGCTCTGCAGGAAGAAGGATGAGGACAGTGTTGGTGGCTGCAAGTGGCAACAATCTGGGACTCTAGTCATTTTCTCCTTTGGTCACCTGGAGCTGCCCGTAGTGGCTGAAGGGCCATCCCACTGCCATCCTCTGGGTCCAGGTTTGATGTTCCGAGCTCCCTTCTTTTTCGCATTGTGCAGCATTTCTGAAATAAGGGGGGATCCCTCCTGGTGGAGGAGGCAGTGGAGCTGGGGGCTAAGGGGATGCTGGGCAACCAGCTGGGAAGATGAGCACCTGGTTCCACCTCTGGCACCTGGGGCTGTTCTTTGGCCTCTACCCTCTTCCCAGATTGGCACCTCCCTCTGCTCTTTGTTGACTTGAGAGGCAGCCATTTGGCCAGTAGTCCTGGCGCTCTGCTGAGACGCCCCTGTTCCCTGTTAGCTGACGGGTTCACCAGCAGAAAAATGTTGGCAGAGATCCAGGAGCACACGTGCCCCTCACCTCCTGGCTCGTTTGGCCAGTTCTTGGCTAAGACTAGCCTCAGCAGAAGGAGAAAAAGGTGTCACTCACTGGCCTGAGCCTTCGGTGCCGCAAGAGCCCCAGCGTGTTCTCCAGCACAAAGAGCAGGAAGAGGCCTCCGAGCACCGACAGCCCTGGACCCAGGTCTTCCTCTGGCCGCCCTCCAGGTCCTGAGTGCTGCCCTCCTTGTGCCTGACAGAGAGGAGGTCAGGGCAGAGCTTGGAAGCCCCTGCGTTCAACAGCATCCCCCTCCCGAGTGGCAGGTGGCAAGCCCTCACTGTGCACTCTACTAAGAGGCAGCTGTGGGCTGAAGCCAGAGGTGGAATTAGGAGTGGGATGTCCTTGGAGGCCATCAGCCACCAGGCAGGGACACCAGGGAGGGTCTTCACGTACATGCGGCAGCAGGTGTAGCATTGCATCCCCACAAAGAGTGCCCACGGCCAGGGCCCCCAGGAAGCCCAGCAGGGGCCGCAATAGACGAGGTCCCAGGAGGCGCAGCAGCAGCAGGGAGAGGGGAGCAGGGAGACTGAGGAGCAGGACTGCCAGGGCACTATGAAGCAGGGCTGGGGAGAATCCAGGGTTGAAGTTAGGTTGGGGTTGGAGGGGGCCCCAATGAACCCCTTCCTTGGCCTAGGGTCTATTCCCTCCCAGGATTCAGGGGACCCCAAAGAACTCTTTTCCTTGGCCTAGGGCCCACTCCCTCCCAAGGGTCAGGGTGCCCCTTTCCCACTTCACCCACTGACCAGATAGTAGATCTCCTGAGGGTACTGGGGCTGGAGCCTGGATGCAGACACGGCTCTCGATCTGATAGAGCAGGGCTGGGCACAGCAGAGCAAACTGACGTGGGGTCAAAGGAGCAGCAGGGCTCAGGCCAAAATTGACCAGCAGCTGGGAGCCATTCAGACACTAGGGGAAGTGAACTGAGGGTCAGCATGGCATCTCGGGGAGCCATGACTCAGATCATTAATGCAAATGTATCCTCCCAGGGTCCCTTTGGCTCACGTTGGCAGGTGCATCAGGGACTGGGGATGAGACGTAAATCAATGTGTGCTAATGATTAGTAAGCATTCACTCCAGTGCAAACATGCAGTGCAGCTTGGGTGCCAGTGAGCATTGCCGGCACCTCCCTCTCTCCTGGGCTCTGATAGTTTGGTTGATGGGGTGATGGAGCTGGTTAGATAGCTCAAGCCCACCATTAGGGAAGAGAACTTAGAGGGGAGAAGAACATGAGATGCCTTCTGACCTCCCCCTCAGCAGTCCTGTCACCTGTTCATCTAGCTACCTGTGGTGGGGCATTCACTGGACCTGCTTCAGAGTTGGGCAGCTTTGCCCCTGGTATACATAAAATGAGTTTTCTGCCCTTCTCAGTGAAGATATCCATCCACTCCCTGCAGGTTTCATCTCCATACAATCATGCCCAGATCCTACCCTGCACTGCTTCTCTGTATTCTCTGCTAAATGCGGTCTCTAAACTGGGTCTTAGAGCTGTGGGTGTGGGCTCGCCTGCTCTGAGCCCAAAAGGAACAGGAACTGTTGGAATAATGTACCCTCAGACTGCAGTGGGATTTTTTAAGTAACACATTACCGACTAAATGTTCCAGGCTATAGCTCATTCCCCCTCTCTAGAGACCATCAGACTCACATCCTCATTCAAATGATCAGCCAGCGAATGGTCCAGTAGCAGAAGCCTGTGAAAGAGGCCCAGGCCTGAAGGGGCTGGCCCTCGGGGTAGGTAGGGGGCCTTTGACTCCTCCAGGTCACCCCATCCTGATGGACTCAAAGGCA